TATGGACACCATAGGCATGATTTTCTCTGTCAAGGACAACACAGTATTGAACATGTGGACTTTAAAGTATTCTTTCCTTAATCACATGTTGATACTCTTTTTTAATATTGCCTTTTGCATGATGTCTTCTGGTTCTCCCTCACCGACCAGTTGTCACCTACTGTTTTAATCATTTCATTCCTATAGTACTTTGCGTCTGTTCATTTATAATCAGAAATGTGGAATTATTCCAATGTCTTTAAATTAGCCCTCTGCAATAGACCCAATATTTTTGCCCTCCCCCAAATTTAGTCATACGTTGAATCTAATGCCCAACGGGATGGTACTAGGAGGTGGGGTCTTTGGGATGTGCTTTGATCATGAGGGTGGAGCCCTCAAAATGGGATTAGTGCCTTTATAAAAAAAAGACCCCCACAAAGCTTCCTCGGCCCTTCTGCCCTGGGAGGTTATAGTGAGAAGGTGGCTGTCAGTGAGGAGGTGGGTTTTCAACAGACATCAAATCTACTGGCACCAAAATCTTACACTTCTGGGCCTTCAGAATTGTGAGAAATTGTCTGTTGTTTATAAGCTACCAGCTTATGGTATTTTTATCATGGCAGCTCAAGCAGACTAAGATACTTCATAATCATTTTTTAAAAATGCTTGAGTATCAAAATAGCATCTTATTCATGCTGGTATCCTTCAGAATCCCTAGCTTTTATTTGTTAAAAAACATTTATGAAGTGCCAGTTTGTGCTAGGTACCGTGATAGGGCTCAGAGATACAAAGATGCATATGTAAAGTGCCTGACCCTACCATGATAGGCGCTTGGGAAGTTCTGTTGAATTTAATTGAATTTATCCCACAATAATGCCGGATTGAGCCTCCACCAATCATCCTAAGAAGGGGGGTCATATAAAACATAAGGTTAATGACTAAATAATGGAGTTAAAATTTAAGGTTAAATACCAAGCATTATGTAATTTCCTTGCATTATGAAGATAGGTCATTAAGGATTCAACACTTTCGAGCCTGCTTAACCCAAACAACAATGAAAGGAAAAAATCTAAACACAATTTTCCAGCTTTCAGATGAATGAGGTTAAATTGGGCAAGACAGCAAATAATGAGGGATAATAAAGAACTCAAGTCATCCAGTACATTAACAAAGCTGATGTGTAGTTAATCCTGAAAAAGATGCATCACTCTGCTGGGTGAGAAGCAGGAGAGTCCTTCCTAAAGGGGCGATGGAAGACACACCCACACATTTCCATGGAAGACACACCCATGCATATCTCCATGTTCAGATAAAATTGGTTTTTTTCCCAACAGTCAACTCATATGTCATCTTTTCCATGCTTCTTTTTCCAAACCCCCAAGCTGTCTCTCTACCCTCACAGGGTTCTATCTGCATTTCCTTTGTGTGTGGTCTGTCTTGTCACCATGTGATGAACTGTGAACTCCCTAAGTGGAACAGAACACATGTGCATGGAGTATCCACTGGTCCAAGAACTGAGCTATGAATACTAGATATGCTACCTCAGCCTATCCTCTCACCACATCTATAATGTGGGGATAAAGGACAAGATGAGGAGAGGAGTGTCAAAGCCTTAATTAAATTTCCTGAGGTCACGCAAGAAGTGAAGAGCCAAGTTGGGCTTCGGACTCAGAAATGTCGGACTTCAAAATCATTACACTTCCTGCAACACTCAACTCTCCTTAGAGTAAAGCTATTATTTAGGTAGAATTTTCACGTAGTGGATGCTTAATAGTTCTGGTTAATTCAATGACTAAAATGTTAATAAATAGATTAAATAATTAATAAAGGATTTCTATAATAAATTAATCTTATGTCTTCCCTCAATAAAAGTATTACTACAACCATGAATTGATTCGGAAGTGCCGTCCTGGTTGATCAAAGCTTCTTGTTAGCTGCAAGTGATCATTTCTACCAGGTGGAAAACACACAGAAATTTTCCAATCTCTTTCGAAATATTTATAGGTTTCTTCACATACTCTTTCCAGTTTAACTTGCCTGGCGCTGAAAAATATAATTATTTTCCACTTAACTGAATTTGAATGTGAAAAATCAACTAAAGTTTTTCCCTGTTGCTTGTATTGTTTTATTTTTCTTCAAAAGAAAGAGGCTAATAATATCTCAATAAACTGATGCTGAGATTTTAAAAGTTTTTAAAGTAACTTTCTGAATATATACTTATGAACATTTAAATTGCTGTCTCAATCTTTAACTTCTGTCAAAGAACAAGGCTATATATATGTAATGTCTACGTTAGATATGTGAAGCACACATTATATTTATTTGGTCAATATTTCAGTTATTGCAGAAAGAAAAAGACTATGCAAGCAAAATTCCTGTCACACTGAAATAAATGGCAGAACATTTTTAAAAATAATGAACCAAGTCACATAAAATTCCAGCTTCTACATTTTTTAATTTAGACTTCCAAGTACCTTAAGATTATTAGGTACAAATATCACAGGCATTTTAATTAAAAAGCTAAATTTCCATGAAAGCAACAATGATGTTCTTCTATGAACATACCTGGTACTTCCTTAACTCACCAAAAATGAGTTAAATTCTACTTGACATGACTGAGAATTGTCATACAAAATTCCAAATTTGAGATTGAATTTTTTCGACCATCTTCACTAATGGCATATCAGCTGGGAGTGTTCTTGGCTTCAAGTAACAGAAAAATCCAAGTCATAGTAGCTTAACAGAAGTATATTCCTCTTATACAGAAAGATGCATGGAGATAGAGGAAGTTTGGCTTTGCTTCACCTGTTCGGTGACATCATCAGGGAGCCAGACTCTTAGGGAGGTCCCAAGTTGGGGACTCCTGAGGGAGGGGTGAGCCAAAAAACTAAATAAGTAAAATGTATGCTATCTTAGAAAAAAACTGCTATAACAAACCTTAAAATTTCAGTGATTTAACACATTAGAGGTTTACTTTCTTCTCAAGTCATAGAACAGGGTGGGTGAACAGCTAGGCGTCCCAGGTCTTCTCTCTGAAATTGTTTACAGACCTAGCCTGATGATGGTTCTGCCATCTTCAATGAATGCCTCCTACTGTCACCGTGTGGTTCTTCTGCATTCTCCCTGAGGACACAGAGGGAAGAATGAGAGTAGCCCTGATCATCTACACACAAATAATGATGGTTGGATTGTGAGTTGGATCAGGGGGTTTTCCAGGAGCATCCCTAGTTTGAGAGCTCACTCTGGAGACATATGCATGGTCTTGCGTTAGGTAAGAAATAAGACTTTCTCAAAGTCTTATTTCTTGTGAGTAGTATGTTCAGTTATCATTTATCTATTTCTCCTAAGAAGTTTCAAGTCTCATGAAAGAGTCATAGGTTCAAATGACCTCTGATTATTAATGTTCTGGCTGTTTAGATTCCAGAGAAGAACAGGAGTTGGTCAAGCACTTCCGTGCCTCTGTGCATTTTGTTCATATTGTCACCTATTTTGTGAAGCCTTTTCATACTTCTTACAAATCTATGCTAAAATAATAGTTTACTTTTTAGTGGCTCTGAAATAATAATCTTTTAATTTCAATGAGTGCTACCCACTTCTGACTCTGGGTATTTTGCATTTTTTCACCAAAATGTTTCCACATGCTCACAAGGTACATCTCTGCTTCTCTGCTTCGCTTATGAAGATGCTGAGGCTCAGAATGCTGAAATAATTTGCCCGCCATCCTCCTAATTCTAAAGTTAAAAATGTAGGTATTACTTTGACAACTTCTTGTCCCTCATTGCCCCAAAACACAACCAATTGCAAAGTTTTAGCGAGTTCATCTCTTTATTATTTCTCAAACTCATTTAATTTATTTTTCTATTCCTATAGCCATTGCATCCATTCAGTTCACTATCATTTGTCACCTGAATTACTGCCACATTCTCTTACCTGGTCCCCCTAACTCAAATGTGCTCCCCCTGCCATGCATTATACTGCTACTAAGAGTAAACTTTCCAAAATGGAAACACATGCTTCCACTCTGTATTGTATAAGGATAAAAAATATCCTTATTTTTTTTATATCATTCTTATTATGGTTATCACTGATGTCATTTCTTCCTCCTGTGAGGGAAGTGAAGCAGTTAACATTTTCTTACTCGGCCTCAAATCTCAAACGTCACAAAACCGCTCTGCAAAATCCACAGGAATTACAATACCACAGGAAACCTCAGAAGGGCCTTCCAAAAGAGACACATGGAGAGAAAGGGCGTATTGTTCAGGAAATTAGAGTACAGCAAATATCAGAGAGACCATTTCCCATGACTAAAATGGATTAGCTGCAACAAACCAAAACCCACAGATAACTCTCCACCAACATGTGGCTCTGTCATTAGGAGCAAGTTATTGCTTTGTAAAGATAGTATGAGGATGAGAAAGGACTTCTAGGATTATGCTTTGAAGGCAAGATATCACTAGAGAGGTTGTGTTCATGGCCAGAGGCAGTCTTTCAGATATCTCTGAGCAATGCAAGAATTTACCCCATTCAAAAAGATCCTGGACTATCATATTTCAATGAGAAAAACTGACATTATAGCTCAGAGTTTAAGAGCATAAACTGTGTGGCCAAACTGCATGTGTGTTTCTAACCTGATGTTGACACTGACTGATTATGAGACTTTGGCCAATCTATTCTGTTTGATTCTCTGTGATTCAGTTTCCTCATCTATCAGAGCAGACAAAAATAGCACCTAAGAAGGAAGGCAATTATGAGAATTACCTGAGTTATGTGTGTGTGTGTGTGTGTGTGTGTGTGTGTGTGTGTGTGTGTGTGTGTGTGTGTGTGCGTGTATGTGTGTGTGCGTGTATGGCCAAGGACATTGCTTGGCACATAGTTTGTGTTATACAGTATTATAAATTTTATGTTTCACCCCATACATGCATTTGCTCATTTGTTTATCTCAAATTTGCCCCAGCCTGCTTCTCACTGAAGAATAAAAGCTAAAGTTCTTAAGATAATTTTGAAGACATTTAGACAGCCGCTACTTAAAATCCTTTATTTTATACATAAGGAAACAGGGACTGGGAGATCTGACTATTTATTGAGGATCTCATTTCCAGTAAGAGGATAAATTTAAATAATTTGACCGAGGCAATTCTACTTTCAGTCTGGTGTTCTTTCATATAAACTATATTATCTTAGCCAATGTCCGTGATGTTCAACATTTTCCTTTAAAGTAAGTGGGAAAAAAAGGGCTATTTTCCCCAAAGAAAAGTCAAAGCAGCTAATAAATCAGATGATTTACACAATAAGACATAGCGGAGACAGTGAGATTAGAACTGCAATCCATGACTCCTTTTTCTGAAAGTTATTTCTCTGCCTACAAAGTAATGAACGATGACTTTTGGGAATATTATACAAAAATTCGTATCTTTACATGTTCAAGGTGAGTCACTGTCTTACTTTCAAATGTATGGTCAACAAACAATTTGCAGTACTTTGTGATCAAAATCCTGATGCTTTCCTCTGTTAAACTGGTCTAAATATAGAGGCTAAAGATATCTTGCGTAAGTTTTTCATTATTCTTGGAATATTGTACTTCTAATTCAGCGTATCAATATGTAACTGGGGCAAAACCATTATTTTGGCGAGAAAGGGAAAAATCATCTGTGTTATCTACTATTAGGTTATTACATCAAGCAGAACCATTTTCATAGCAAGAGCTAGGTATTTACAAAAATATATCAAACATTTGAAAGTATAATCAAAGAGAAAATTATATCTAAGTCTGCGAAATTTCAAAGGAAGAGCAGGATTGGGAGAGAAAAGAAAACATCTCACAAATCTGGCTCGCGATCCTTCTTCTCTCTTGTTATCTCAAGTATCTGAGACCTTACCGAATATCTGCATTCCTAGAAGATTAAAAAATAAAAGTTTAGGATATCTTTGTGTCATTTTAGATTTTTGTCAGTGAGTCTTATAGATGGGGATAAGATGTTTCAAAGCACTGGTGAAAAGAATGTAATGTCTGCTTAGTTCTGGGGCATCAAAATGGAAGAAAATCTATTTCCTAAAACTAAAGGTTGCCAGAGACGATTTTTTCCACTGCAACCCACAAATCACCGTACAGTGCCCCTCAAGTACAGTGGTGCATATGTCCTGTCTCTTTCGGAATGCAAGCTGCAGTGTGCAGAGAGACAAGTGAATGTTATTTGCATGTCTGATTGCCTGTCACTGTCAATCTCAGGGACAGCAGAGAAATCATTGGCCAACGACTTCAGAGTTCGCATGTCCTGTGCTTACTTATTACTGGAAAGAATAAAATATAATGAACCTGATATGGACAAGGAATGCAAGGAATAAAATATTTCTTTCAGACTGTCGGCAAGCAATGGAACAAATGAGATTTACGGCAGAATTGGAGATGTGATTTATAGTTTTGCTTGTTCTTCATTTAAAAGAGGAAATTAAAACCACACTTGCATATGATTCAATCTTTGATCACCAGAGAATAGCTGCTGTGAATTAATTATTATAAACTCTATTACCCTGTTCACCCCAGGTGCTGCATTCACGATACCTTCCAACTAGTGTCCCAAGGGGAAGATTTTTTTTTTTTGGTTAAAAATCTGCAGGAAAATTATCTAGCATTTGGAGCAGTCATTTATTATTTAAGACACTAATTGAATTATCTCATGGAAAAGATATAGTTAAAAGACTCAGATAAAATTCTCAGCAGCTTCTTACTGGCTCGGAGAATGTGGGCACTTATTCTGTTTTCATCATTTATAAGCCTAGAATTAAATGTTTAAATTTATGCACAAAGATTCTCAAATCGTCAGCTCTGATAGTTCCCAATTCTATAAGTAAATGTATGAAACACTAATTTCATAAAGAAGATATTTTGTTCATTTAGTCTCCATTTAAGGTAATAAAATGAATTTTTATATAAACATTTCAAGACACCAAAATAAAACAGTGACTCATTGGGAGGCCTTTAAGATACGGCAAATAAGGAATCTTTTTAAAGGATGCTAAAATAAAATTTTCAACATAAATTTAATAAAAGATATACCATAATAATGCCATTAATCATAAGAAACCAACATTCTTTGAACAGAACATTTAGAAAACTACTGTTGGCATTAAATATAAATCTTGAAAGAAGAAAAATATTTGACATAGAGTTGAGAATGTAATCAAATATGATGCCAAAGGAATGTCAAAATTTAAGGTGTTTTACACATTCGAACCTGTGAGCGGAAGGTTGGTGACTACAGAGCAGTCAAACATGATCTGGGACTTCAAAGACAGGACAACACAGTACGGGTTACTTAAGCAGAGTGGGCTGGCTCTTTAGCTGTTTTCCCAATCGAACATTTACACTTTGATTTTTCGTAGATGCTCTCTCTAGCTGGTTATGCTTATGGGTAGAAGAGGAACAAGCCTGTGAAGCACTTGAACGATAGTGAAGATTTAGGAGTCTTCAGATTGCACATGATAGAAATATAACTCAAAATAGCTTGAACAAAAACAGAAAATGTGATGTCTCAAGTTATTTCACACACGAATGGATCTAAGAACTTTAAAGTAACTGGAATTCTCTTTATCTCTCACTCTTCCCCTCTCCGTCTGTCATTCACCCCCTAAGCATCCTTCCCTCCATCGCCCAGCTCTGTTCTCTGTGACAGGGTCCTTCTCCGCAGACTTTCTCCACACGGCGGCAAAGACCGGGGCCTGCAGCTCTAGAGTTCACAGCTCTCACTACTGGTGATCTCTATGAAAATGTAAACCTGTTTCCTGGAAGTTTTGGCAAAATGCTGAGAACTGTTGGCATTGATCTGCTTGATTCTTCTCCCATCTCTCGATCAATTCTCGTTGCCAGGCATGGAATTAAATGACTGACCGACCTGATCCCTGTGCCCATCTCCACTTAAACCCCAGAGGCTGCAAATAGAGCACACGGGGTCCCCACAGAACACTCAGGATGCCATCTCCGAAGACACTGGAAGCAATGCCACACATGAAAAAACAATGTCCACTGCAAGCAAATTAAGACTTTTCCTGAAGTATGTACTTTTATATCTATTGCCAGTTAACTGCACAAAGGCCTGCCAGGAAAGAAAATAAAATCATTAACTTTTTTTTAACTATTAATTTATACTTTTTAAAATGCAGTTAGGTGTTACTGCTAGTTTGTTGCATGTATAGCTATATCTATATCTATAGACATATAAAATCCATATATATCTCTGTATATCTCTGTATATATATGGATTTTATATGTCTATAGATATAGAGGAACTTGTGAATATAGGGGTTTCTTTATACAGTAATAATATTTTAGTAAAGTTAATTTTAATGACAATGTATCATATTTTAAAATATAATAAGGAATATAAAATAAAAAACAATTATCCATAGCCCTACTACCCAAAACATTTTGGTATATGATTTGGGGTTTGTTTCTTTTTTCTCTGTTCTCTCTTATTCCAAGTTTGTGGTTATTTTTCTTTTTGAATATTAAAATTTTTATTATGTGTTATATATAATTTTATACCCTACTTTCTTCATTTAACATTACAGTAAGAGCATTCTTCTTATTATGAACTCTTAATGGGAAGAATTTTAATGGATGGGTAAAATCTCATCCACAATCTATTCTTACTTCTATATTTGAAAATTTATATTGCTTTCAATATTTTATGGTTATTAATAGTGTTGCCATTACCAACGCTTTGTTTTCTGAATTTCAGATTATCTCCTTAAGAAAATTTTCTAGCAATGAAATTCCTGTCTAGAGAATTACAGACATGTTAGATGAGGATTGCCTTAACTTTTCATTTTGTTTTTCTTCAATTTGATGATTCTTTCAAAATGTATCTCAAATACTAAATATTAAAAACTATTGGAACACTGAATTTAGTATTTATTTAATAAATATTTTTGGAACACATATTAGGTGTCAGAGCACAAGGTAGGGATATCTAATGTAGCCTGATGGAGAAAGAGAAGGCTTCTAAAAAGAAATGACTTGTAAACCGAAAAATGAGTAGGAGTCAAGAGGAGAATTAAGTATAAAAAGAGAACGTAAAAGAAAAGAACTCATCTCACGGAGACAATAAAATGAGAAAATACATGGCATAATTGGGAAGTCACATGGATTTTAGGAGAGCCAAAGACTAGAGGGATGACGGAGGCCAGAGTTCAAAAAGCTCGGCTACAGGAACCGAGGGGTTACGAAGGGATTCACCAGAGCGAGATGCCTGCACGGCCTCAGCGCTCCACTGTTTCACATTACGTCATCTCTCAGAACTTTCCCTTCAGTTTGGTGAACTTCTCTGTCTGATAGAAATCTGAGAAATGGAATTACCTTAGAGCACAAAGGATGGATTGGGTGTGGGGGAGATGAAGAGTGAGAGTCTCAATCCGTGTAGCTCATTTCTGATTCAGGAATATGGCTGAGGAAACTTCAATCTGGGCTTTTTTCTTCTTCCATCAGAGAATGGTCCCCAGGAACTTCCTCTAGTAAAGGGTAGTTAATGTCTATCCCACCTCAGGCTGACATAGTTTAAGGAGCATTTGCATATTTCCTAGACAATATAGCAGAGTTCGGTGAATAGTAGACTTTGTTGTTGTATCTTTTGTTCATTTCAAATTTGAGATTGCAAAGAGACCTGTTCTACTCATTGAAAAAACACATGAATAGCCAATAATTTCTACGTGGACAAATTGAGTCCTATGAGTCCTGCTGGAATTTCAGTTTCAGCTTCCCTGGGGGTTGGCTCATTCTGGCCTCGTCTACCTTGGGATGTAGAGCTCTCTCTCAAAGGCAGTGACACTGGACGCAGGCAGAGACCATAAACGAATGTAGCCTGTACATCTGTTGTCACTAACTCACCTGCCAGAAAGCCCAGACAACGTTTTTTAAAAATCCTTAGAAAGTTTTAAAAGCAAAATAGTGATCGAAAGGATGAGGAATGGATGGGTTTTTCCAGAGATCTGGGTTCTTTTTCTGTCTTTTTCCACAACTCATTAGAGAACTTAATTGAACCGCTTCCCTCTCACAATCTCCCCTCTCTGTGAAATAAGGATAATTATGGCTGCCCTTTCATTTGCCCTTTGGTAACTTCACAGAGTGTTCAGAGATGTTATGAAGATTAATAAGCCAAATGCTTGTAGGGCACTTTAAGCTCCCTGCAAGGGAGAAAGCAGAAAATTAAAATCCATTGTTCTGAGAGCAGGAGGGGCCAGATACCAGAGGCCAGCAACCAGAGCCCTAAGAAATGCTGAGCTCAGTTTCTTTTGTGAGTGTAGAGAGGGGCCTTGCTTTCTGTGCCTGTGGTTTCAGCCCTGGCCCATAGGGGGGTCATCTACCTCATATCCCAACATCCCTTACTAGGTCAACCCCAGAATTTAATCTAATTGACCAAATGCATCTTTTTGTGTGTGTGTGTGGGGGGGTATAAGTATGGTAGACTGAACAATGTCCCCCTTCAATATGTCTATGTCCTAATCTTTGGAACCTGTGAATATATGATCTCACGTGGCAAAAGGGATTTTGCAGGTGCAATTAAGTTAAGGATATTGAGGTGGGGAGGTAATCCTTGATTAAAAGGGTGGTCTCAATGTAATCACAAGGGCACTTATAAGAGGTGAACAGTGGTAAGAGATGTGATGATGGAGTAGACAGTTTGGAATGATGCAGGGAAGGTCATTGTGCCTAGGAATGCAGGCAGCTGCTACTTACTACCTGAAAAAGACAAGGAAACAGATTTTCTCCTGAAGCCTCGAGAAGAGACACAGCACTGACCACGCCTGATTTTAGACTTCTGACTCCCAGAACTGGCCGACAGTAAAAATGTTTTGTTTTCAGTCACTAAGTTTGTGGTGATTTGTTATAATGGGAAAC